TTTTATCAAATTTATAACAATACATTTTTTGAGATGATTATCCATTTTTATATGTAAATGATTAAATTGATCAATTATTTTTTTTGTTTATCCTTGTTTTAAATATTAAACAAGTAGAGATATTACATGTATTTATTTGTAGTAAAAAATAGATATATAGGCAGTTTTAATGTTAAAGACATGATAATTTTAGATAATATTTTATTAGTACTGACACAAATATATCTATATATTTTCTTTTACATTACATTTAGTTGAAGTCACTGAAGAGAAGGAGCTTCTCGATCTCCTTTTTGCTTGTAGGTCAATGTAATAAATATTTTTTGTGTTCTCATTATCATATTTCAAAACAGCTAAGTCAGACACTCGAATCTTATTCATCAAACTTTTATCTCGTCTGAATCTTTCAAAGTATATTGAAACTCACAGCTGTTTACAACTTATATATATTTGCCGTACTAGAAATATTCACTGTCATACTAGAAATATTCACTTTCACTCTTGAGTTTATTTATAATTAAGTGTAAGTAAATTATGATTGATGCACAAACGTGGCCACAGCGAAGTAAATGACACACGGAGACTCTTGCACGAGAATGTTGCAATCGAACCTTCTCAACAATGACTCTCCTTGCTTAATAAAGCATCCCCGTTACTGCACCGTTTACTCTATATTCATGTAACGTTATTCATCGTATGACCGCGTACAATGCACGCGACATTCGCTCTCGTCATGCGATGCAAACGGCGTTTTCTCGGTGGAAAGTTTCGCGGCGTTCCGCGGTGTGTGCACGCGCGTTTTCTCGAAATCCTCGCGCAAAAGAGCGAGTGAGCGATGGCAGCAGCTAACGAAGGGAAAATCCACGAGCAGTCGCGGCATTTACCTCTAATTGAATAATATCGAACATTAAAACGCGCCGAGTGTCACAGTCTGGCGGCAATGACGACCCGGTCGTATTACGGTGCATGGCACCTCTCTCCCCGTTGCTTCCCGTTCCGCATCGTTCCAGCCCGTCTGTTTTTCCGTTCGCAATAATTCAATCGCAATATTCGTACGACTCGATAGATCGTCATGGCTGCGAATATTCCTGTCTCGAAATCAATTTTTGCTCATTTATTTTCTAACTCGGCTTAACCCTCTATTACCTTTTAGAGACTTGGAAAACGTTCGATGAATAGGGACGTCGATTTTTCATGAAAATTTGAGTGGACGTTACTTTTTGTAATTTTATTCTACGTTTAGGAGTGATACGTATATAAATATTTATGATATATTCTCTAAAATCTCTGAAGTCAAATCTAATTCTTAAAAATTAATAATTGAGCCATTCTTTTTCAACATTGGCTCTTTGTCACTCTTTAGAATTACATTCCACTCCAAAGATTTTAGAGAGTACATTTATATGATATATTTAATATATATAAATTATATACACGTAATACATATTTTGTGCGTGGTGAGAGTTGGAATTTAAAATCGAATCTGCTTTTGTAATTGAGTATAATTGAGGAACGAGATTGTTCTGTCGGCTCGCCTCTTTACTCTCAAGCCTTTCGTTTAAAAAATTGTAACGGAAAGGAACTTTGCGGCACGCCAATGGCCGTTTCACCTGCTGCGAGGGATCGCTTTTATCGAATCTCCCCGCGCGCTTTCTCCGGACACGCTCGGAATAAAATGTTGATTCAACGAGTGTATATAAGGCTTCCTATACGCAAATTACGCAGACAGTGAGACCATTGTTGTCCGTGGTTTATTTGCATGTGATTTTCGATGGCCTTTTTTTCACCGAGTCAGCCGGTCACAGTTCGATTGCGGTGCAGATCTCGATCAACGGAGGCTTTCTCTCGACGTTGCAGTTTGCACTCGGAAATAGAGACACGGCATTTTTCCCTTGAGGTATTCGGTATAATCGTGATGATTCTCGTTCACGATTTAATGTTTGCACCTTTTGTGAGAAAATGAGATCTTTTCGATGCGAGATCTTTTCGAAGATTCACGTAGGTATCGCGGACGATTTGCCACGGGCGGATTCAGGTGGGGATATGGAGGCCATGTCCCCTCCTTTGGAGTCTTCTTTTTTAAAAATATTTATAACAAAATGTTATATATATTGTTAATATTTCTAAAATATTCACAATTTTGATATTGCAAAAATATTTTTTACTTAGAAACATTCTATTATATTATTCTTCTTTTGTGTTAATATAATTTTAAATAAAAACGTTTTATGAATTATACGTTTAAATAATTTTTCTTTCAATGTAATAATTTAAATAATATAATATTCTATCTTTTCATATTTAACCTTGAAAAATTTTTTGTTTGCGACGCGTCAGTGGCCTCCCTTGATGTCTGGACCCACTAATTATACGATTTCAAGAATCGCACGATGAGATAGCAATCGGAAACGGATCGCGTCTTCCTCGATATAACGGATCGTCGGATTCTAGGAATATACCTGATTCTAGGTAGACGTCCGATTTGTCACGTCGTCGCTTTGAAGTCAATTAATCAAAATCGATGTGCCTCTTATTAATTATCTACTTCTGATTATAAAGTTCTTCCTCCGTGCACGTGGGATTCAATAAACACACACGTGTTCAGTTCCACGTCATTTCTTTATATAACACTAAGTATCGTAAGAAATGTTGATTCAACTCACTCGTCTATTTAAACATGATCTATGTCTTCAGATCACTGTCTTTAATGATAGCTCATTTGCATTATTTGATAATTGCTGGATTAGAAATATTAAATATTATGATTACAGAGATATCAAGAGAGTATTTATAAGGATGACGTTTCTTAGTGCCTTTGATTTATAGATGTGCTTTCTCTTGCGATCATAGTTATCACTTGCATACATTTCGCAATTGTTTGATCGCACACTAATGATCATGGAGATACTCATGAAGAGCTCATAATACAGCTTTATTAAGATACAAATCTTACATATCTATTACCTAATAATAATATTATAGTTGTACACAAAAAAAAAACTATTCTTAAATCAACCATGATATATTCATGTAAGCAAAAATATTGTAATCTTGCTTTAAAGATTTTAGTCTTGATTTGATTGAATTTGTATAAAATTGAATTGATATAAAATTTTTAATTGAGCCAGTCTTGAATTGAGTGCAAAGTAATACTTGCATAAAATCAAATTTAATTAAATCAAGACTAATATCTTTGAAGCTTAATATATATGAGTATATGGTTAATTTAAGAATAGTCTTTTTTTCTGTTGTAAGTTTGTAAACCATGTTACATTCTTAATTCTTTTATAAACATAATCAATTGCTTTTTTAACGCATTTACATTTTAACATAGTTGATATTTAATAAATATGTTCTTCGCGATTCCATATTGAGTTGGTCTCGATATTCTATCACTTACATAATTCTTCAAGTATTCAAATCTGTAGCGATTATAATTCGACAAACTATAATTTGGTCCTTCATAAATTTTTCTAAGTAGTAAAAATTTTAATTCACATCAGATCTACTACTGTAATTAGATGAGCTGCAAAATACTTAATTTTCATTCATTACAAGAATAGTTTTAATCGTCAAAGATTCAATTTGCTGTGAATTTCTAATAATTCTAATTTTTCAATTTAAAGTGGAATATTTACAATATGTGACCACCAAATTCCTAATGTTAAAGTTAATTAATTTCTCCCAATTTCTTGAATGTTACTTTAGCATTCTATGCAGCTTCTCGTTTTCCGTGTCTCATCGGCAATATTGTTATCAAACCTGCATATAAATGCAATGACGTTACAAAATTGTATAATGCGCTATTTGCATAACCGATCTAAGATCTTGCTTAACATACATCAAGTTTTTTACTGCCCAAAGAAGTTGGCACTTCATCAGTGATTATTTTATAACTACCGATCTCGATTGATATAGCAAACCGCGATATTGTATACATAATCATTTACAGAATTAATCCATTTGTATGGTCCGTGAGCTCAATTTGTAATTATAAAGAACTTTAGAGCTCTGAGTGACGACCGCAAAAATCGCCACGATGGAATCAGCTGCCACGAGCGTGAAGAAACATCAGTTTGTTTCACCACAACATCCAGCTACTCGTACCGGAATTTAATTTATTACTGCCTCATGCATTTGAATGCAAACATGTTGCTTAAATTTGCATCAAATACCTACTCTTTTTTGCAATAAACCACTTCCAGGTATGAGCGAAGCGCACCCAGAGAAATATTTCTTTGAATCGAAGAAACCTTTCTCTGCATTTTTAAGAATTGCGTTTTTTTTGCAAATAGCGGGCAGCGGAGAGACTATGACGTGCACCTATACCTGTCTCAAGTTGCCATCTTTCTCTCTCTCTCTCTCTCTCTCTCTTCCTTTTCCTCGCTCAACCTGCACCATTCTACCTCCTTCTCCCTCTCTCTTTGTCGCTTCTCTATTTTGCCAACCGGATCGGCTCGCTTTCGAGCTCTAAGTAACTGTACTTGCGTTTCCTGTATCTCTAAATTGGTAACGCGGTTCAAAGCGGCGCGTAGCGGCGAATCGAACTGTATCGAAAGTCAGGATATGCCCCGTAGTACATAGAACGGAGCTATCTCTCCCCGCTATATACATGCCGATGTCTGTTATGTGCTCGAACGTAGCTGGGATGTCGTAATAGATATAATACGTAGGTATTGCGTGCATGTAAGATCTGTCCTAAAGTGACATACTTCGCTGAATCGCGCGGCATACCTTTCGTCTTCTCGTGTGAGAAGCGACATTTCTAAACATCTGATTATGCGTCGATGTCCATAATGAAGCGTAGAAAGTCACCGCGCGGAGACATCGGCATGGTATAACATTACTTTTGAACGGTTCTCTGAAGCTCCTTCTGAAATTACAGACTGTTCCACAAAGGATCGGCAACAATGTAAAACTTCAAGGAGCGTATTCCGACAATAGTTCCAGCTTTAATAATTCTGAAAGTAATTCAAACTGATTTTTCACGGTTTCGACAGGTGAAGGCTGCGTCGAGAAGCCCGTGTCGACCCTGTGGCGGAACTACGTAAGCAGCAATAGACCCGACGTTTCCATGAGGTTGACGGTGACCAACGGTGGTCTGACCGCGACCACTAAAGACCACGGCCTCACCGAGTATTGGGCTCACCGTGTGACTTATTGCACAGCGCCAGCCACTCATCCACGCCTCTTTGTTTGGGTATACCGACATGAAGGCCGTAGACTGAGGCCCGAATTAAGGTGTCACGCAGCCCTGTGCAGCAAGGAGTCTACCGCAAGAAGACTCGCCTCGATCTTGAATGCCAGGCTGCAACAGGCGCTCATGGAATTCCGCCGGGACAAGGTCTCCAGGCAAAACGCCAGGTGAGAGCAGCGGTATCATGCCATAAAAGTAAACTGAGACCTAAGCGAGTTATGGAAAGCGGTGTTATTTCAATAGCGCTCTTATTGATTTGCTATAAAGAGTTAATACTGGAGAAATTTAGAAACAAATTAAGAATGCAAATCTTAAAATTTCTTATTTCCCGGTAACGACAAATAAACGCAAACGGAAGTCACGAAATTTACGGGATCGTAATATTAGCGGAAATTATTAACGGGCATTATCTAACATTGGTAAACAGTTAATGGGGGGGATTTAGGAAGTATTACGGTGGGATTAGTGAGATATCTTGTTGAGTATTAGAATTGCATTAGAAGAGAATTAATAGGACACACATAATACATTTGCATTACGGTGTTTATCCAATATGCTAGAAAATATTTGAATCTCTTTTTGTCTTATCGATTTTAATTGCTTAATTATCTAAATGCATATTTTTATGATATGATTTGCTTAGTTCTTAGTAGCTCGTTAAAGTTGAACCGGCTACGATTAATCGTTCGCGGCACAATTTCTCAATCGTAGAATTCTACGAGTTTCCGTTAGGCTCATTTCAATGTCGGGCAGCAACCGACATTGCATTCGCGCATTCCAATCGCGCATTCTTCGCATTTTTATCGTCCTTCATGGGTTATATCGTCGTTACATGGCGCAGGTGTTTGCCTCTTCCCGTTTTAATCAGGGAAAAAGAGAAATTTCTCTCATCTTCGTTCTTTGAGAGGCACGCGAAGTTACGCATGCTCGTGCTTGCAATGGAAGTCACGATTCTGGTCACAATTGTAGATGGTTATGTGCGCGATCGAGTCACGATCCAGGACGGGAAACGATCGCCACTCGACATGTACATTCGGGTCAGTGTTTCCAAGTCGCAGGTCAAACGTTACAGGATTCTACTTTCCATTTGGTGACACAAGTCGACACAAGTATCGTTTTATCCTTATTACTTATGTCTGAATGTTAAGAAAGATAGAATGCTGCTTGTGTCACCAAATAGAAAGCACCTGTATTCGAGCACTCTAGTCAGAATCGTGCTAATACGTCTAATTCGCTACTTTCTTTATCGCATTATTCAGAAATTCATCTTTTTGTCAGGAAACGCAAATAGAGAAAGTTAATGAGTTGGACAATTTTTATTATTTAATCAGTTAGAATTTTAATTTATTTTTAATTAATAAATATTTGTAATTATTTTGTAAATTGAAATTTTACGATTTTTTAAATATATTCTTCAAATTAGCAAGAAGTAAGCAAATTGTAAAATTTTACAGGGAAAATTATATTAAAAATCTTTTTCTTATTATAATGTATTTCCGTTAATATAGATTAATTTTAATCTTGATTTAATTTACTTTTTACTTTTTTCTAATTCTTAAAAGTCAAAAAGATAAAAAGTAAATTAAACGGGTATTAAAGTTAATCTATAATGGTAGAAATGGACATAAATGTATTAAGTCGTTGGAAAGAGAGGATCAATTTTTATTACGAAATTTGTAAAAATATGATATCATTTGTAGATTGGTATAATTTGAATTAATTTACATAGTTTACATAAATCGTTACAGATTGTCTCTAGCAAACGCATTATACGACAATCCGTCGTTGCCGCGTAGGAAACTTCTTCTGAGCACCGGTGGCCAGAACTATCGGCCACCCTTGGAGAGGTCAAAGAGCGCGCCTAAGTTATCAGCGATCGAAGAGGACACGGTAGCTGAAGAGATAGAGCAGGAGAGGCTGCTGGAGGAATTGCGTTCCTTGGAGAACGTAGCACGTAGCTGGGAAGACCAGGACAGCTGGAGGATAGCCAGATTACTGGAAGCTCTTAATCGCGAATCCGATGAAAACGGTAGCATCTCCAGTGGATGTGAAACTGCCAGCACGGCGACCAGCGAGGAAAGAGCCACTGGCCCGGAGGAACATCTTGCTCAGAGTTAGTATAATTGTTCGCTTATCACAATTGCCTGTCACGATTGAAATAATTTGAAACTTGAAGCAAAGTCTCGATAAACTTTTTTAAATACGTCCTTTTGAATGTATAACTATTACTGTTTTTTAGTGCCGTAAACGATAATATCTGTAAATTTTTTCTAAATTTTTTCGTTATGCAAAGATAGTTACATAAAGTGATAAGATTGTAACATAAAGCCTATCTTTGTATCATCTTATATAATTGAAATGGATAAACTGCATGTGTAATTTATTCTAATTTTAGCGCGAGTTTTTTTAAATTCCGTTTGTCGTTATAAACAGCGAGTTGCGTTTTCTTAACGTCATCAATAGATTTAATAAATGTATATGTATAACTGATTTTTTATCGTGCCTATTTTTAATAATGTTTTAATTAATATTATCTTTTGAGATATTTAATTTTTTTATTCGAAATATATCTCTATCTTCGTAAAGTTTTTTAGAGGAGTATATACGATATTTGCATAAACTATATTGAAAGGGCAGTTGCTTGACAAGTCATACCAGTTAGTGTACACGGATTTATAACGTTATAATGTCACTTCTTGATAAGTTGTTTACCTTTAAAATACATTTTCTAGATCCAAATGATCAGCGAGGGTCGATCAAAAGGGTTATCTTCTCGGAAGACGGAGTCGGCAGGAGATCAGGACCACGAAGGAATTCAGAAGGTTCGCCACATTTTATGACGTGTGCCGGTAGTCCCCGTTTCAATCCTATGGATCCTATGAAGAGGTTTCCCTTGAGCGAAGAAGAAGAATCGATGGAGGAAGAAGAAGAAGAAATAGAAGACACTGCTTCGAACATGTTCGATTTCGAGGATGTCGAGGATCTCGACGACGTGGTGGATTATCGGCCGAGGGGAGAGGTGATGAACAGGATTGAGGATCCGCAAAAAAGGGAAAGGCGAGCGAACGAGAAATATCCTGGTAGAATAGGTCACGATTTTTTGCAAAATGAGGAAACTTCGTTCCTAACTCTGGATTCTCTCGACGAGGAGGCCGACAGCGATGAAAGCGGTTACGTGGAAGCACCACCAAAGTCTTTACTAGGTCAAGATGACAAGAAAGAAGAGGAAGAGAGCGAGCATCTGCGATTAGAGTCATTTACGAATAAAAGAGAGGACAAATTGGAGTCGACATGTAGAACCGACGAAAGTGAGAATCAGAGGACGAAACACGAGGATTCTAAGTTAGATAAGCAAGAGGGAAGAAAAACGGAGAAGAAAGATCCCTTAATGGTGGTCAACGATAATCAAAGAGTCAAGGAAAGAGAAAGGGATTAGATTTTAAGTCTCCTATCTCAGATACTATCAGAAAGTTAGCTAGTGCGTCACTAAGAAATTCCAAATCTTTCGAAATGACAAGCAACAATTGCTTGAAAGTACTAAATAATTTCAAAACCTCCAAGTCATTTGATAGCGTGAAGAATGATGAAATTACCGTGGATTCGCCAAGTCTTCACCAAAGGAAACAATTGTTGGCACAACGCGGTGTCATGGTTTAAAACGTCCCTTTTAAATTGAATATTTTTCCGATTTTTTATTACAAATTGAACGGAAATTAATCATTGAATAAATATTTATCTATCATTAAGTCATCACGAATCATCAAAAACATAATTATGTTTCATAAAAACACCAAGTCTACAAACAAGAACGCAAAATTAATATTCGAGCTAAAATGTGCCTAATAGATTTATTAAATTGTATCAATTGTTTCGTTTTTTGGCAAACAAAAATAGGACTATTGCAAATATGTATTTATGATGAAATCGTTTTCCTTTTTCGTAATGTTCATAATAGAAAATAGACGGATTCGATAACAAATGCATTTAAGTTTTATGTCAAAGGCACATTAAAAATATCTGTTTGAATAATATCGAAGCAACAATTAAGATATTGTTCAAATGACTGCTAGACTTTGAAAAATCCCACTTGAATCTTTAAATGCATATCAAAATACTATCATCGAGTTGAACAAATACACTCAGTGTCGAAATTTGATTTAAGCACAATATTCTAAGAGACGTAGTTGATTTCTTGTGCCTCTCTAGTTGGCTAGTTTCTTATGCCTGAGAATCGCGACCTCGCAGAAAAATATATTAAAACAGACAATATATTAATACCAGTTAAGAAGCCGCTCAGCTAAATTAAATTTGATACACAAAATGAACTTAATGTGATCACAATAATAATTTCCACTAATTAATTTCCAGATAAACTATAAGTAGAACGCACTATTGTTTCGCACAAAGCTGTCTAGTTCTTCACGTTACAACTATAGGGGTTGACAAGAAAAATATACTCACATATTATATATACATAATATGTATTATATATACATATATGTACAAGGCAGATGCAAAAATCTTGAAGCTATCTTTGATATTCGTATCTACTACGTATCGCATAGATGTAGTCGGAAATTAAAAATACCCTATTTGAAAGCCTATGGAATAGGCTTTATCAAACAATACTTGCAATCGGTAGAATTGGAATAAAATCAACTCGTAGAAATATAATCTTAACTAAAAATAAAGTGGCTAATTTAGCAATATGATTTTTCATGTTATTGATATTAGACTTCCGTATGTTCAGATATTAGACTTACATATTCAATATTTGAATATGGAAATCGTCTATTTTGAAGATTAAAGGGACATTTATTGGATCATAAAGTATCGACACTGCACCGTATCTTGTTGATTAATGTTAATATTGTTCGATAAACAAATTACTAGTAACAAAGTTAAGTTTGGATTTTTGTGAAATAGGAGATATCGTAAATCGGAAGCGGTTTAATTAAGTAAGTGATTAAGTGATCACACTTGTAAATATAATTTTTTGCGAAGTGGAAATCGACGATACATTGTTACTCGTAATATTGTTATTACGAGTAAGAACGCAAATGAATAGACATTGTAGAATATGATTGTGGTTTTTATTGCGTTCTTTTATCCAACACTATACAATATTCCAACACTATACAATATTCCAACATTTCCAAATTATCCTAAGATCGAAGATTCTAATATGCGAATCCATCGCTATTCAGTACATTCAATAATATGTTTGTCCAATTATTAGTCCAGATTCATCGCTTTAATGCAACAAGTTTATCTAAATGTAAACGCGACGTATCCATCATTCATCCATGCTCTATTATCAAGACCCGCGATAATTTGTTAAATCAGAAATAAATGTTTTCTTTCCTTTTTTTCCGATTGATTATCATGAGAAAAAACAATTTAGCGTAGCTAAATGTACTTCGCGCGACAATAATATGTACATATGTTATTTTCGGCCTATATGTTATAACAGAAATCAAACATTCCTTCGCAAGCCGATAATAGTATACGTTATCGGTAACGACGCTTCAGTAATAGTACACATTATCGGTACAATATAGCTCACGTCATCGATTAGGCAACAAAATAAATATTCCAAATCGATCATACCCATCGAGGATTTCGCCGCCGATGCGAAACCCGAGATGCATTTTTGTGCCAAATTGCGGCCGAAGTCTGTATCGCGACGATCGTTGTGTATGAAAGAGAGAGGTGGTACCAATAAAATAAAGGAAAGCTCGAAAGATCGGAGTTTTCTGTATCTTCCCGCTTCCTGATCCATGAACCTCGGAATTGTCTCTCGTGTATAAAATTGCATTTGAGACAGTTCGTGATCAGGACGAGTCAACCAATAATTACGGATAGCTTGCGCCGATGACAGAAAACGTAAATCGTGATTTTTTAAGGTCATCTTATAAGCAATATTAAAGTCAGACAATTTGAAACGTTCGGTCGATGATCCTGATCGATTTTTCATCATTTATGTTATTTTTCAGAATAAAAAATGTTTTAATATGTATATTTATAAAATATATATATATATATTTGTAAAAAATATACATTTTATATCTATTTTTAAACATATATGTATATATAAACACATTTTTATTTCTATAAAAAATAAATATACATGTAATATATATGAATATAAAAATATCAATTATTTAATGTTTCATGTACACTTCGTGTACATTTATTTTTTGTATTTATTTAGGCTGAAGCTTTGTAATTAGAGAAAAATTTTCATTTCTCTTTCATGCATTAAGTTACAGAATTAAAAATGTAAAATTTTTCTCATGTATATATTAGAGAATGATTTACTTATATAGATGAATTTTAGAATATTCCATACGATATTAAATAAGCAAGATGTTTAGTGTAAATAGAAAAATTGAATAATGATAATGTGACCTGATTAAATTTTCGCCATAAAAAAGTAGCTTTAGATTTCCTGCGGAATTCACGATTGAGATGAAATAATAAGCGATGTTCGTATATGTGTATGAAAGATAATGATGATAGAACTTTTTCCATGTGTTACTTAGTTCTTCTCTTCATATACATAAATTTTCTGGTATGATTCGATTGCAAGAGATGGCGGCAGTTATATTTACACAGTTATTTCTACACGAGAAAATAATTAAAAAATGATCAGAAAAATCCGAGGACTAAATTAGATCATTGATGTTTTCAGATTCATAAAATGTATAAATCAATTAAGATAAGCTATACACATGTATTATTTATTTATTATTTAATTAATTACTTAGTTAATTACATGTTTTTTATAACCAATAATTTATTATAGAATTTCGTAGTAAAACCAATATACACGATGTCATAGAATTTGATTATTTACATTAATAAAATTGAAGAAAATAACATATTTAATAAGAAAGACATCAGAGAACAGAAATAAATTAGAACAAAAAATTAGAACTTGTTATTATATTAATAATTTTAATTCGACTCGCACGGTTATAAATATTATTTTATGCTCACATATCTTTATAAAAAATAATAATTAAATCTCCTTATTTATCGTTAAAAAAAATTGCCAGCTATCTTTGCAGCTTTTTCGTCATTATTTATTATTTAACGCAACCCATTTAGTCAAATCATAAAATCTTTCAACTTTCCTTTCGCTCTCTTTTAAGATTCTTTCAACACAAATTAGGCGCGCCTTTTAATTAAACCCGGATACAGAAGCTGTATTTAAAAAAAAAGAGGAAAAAAAAAGGATAAATTCGTGCACGGTTTCTTGAGCCGCGGCCGCGTATTCTTCATGGCGGCGAAAATTTACGCGAAAACATGACCGTCCGCGTTCTCCCGGCGGCATCTGTCTGCGAAGCGGTCCTTGTCCAGAGTCAAGATCAAGATCAAGGTACTACCAAGGTGGCCGGACCCACAGCCAGGAGTACGATAACGCCTCGCGCGCGCGCTGGTACGCGCTGCCACGATATTCTCTCGCTAACACTAGTATGCATCGGTGTGACCTACTAAGCGCGACATATGTATGTACGTACGCATCGCACGCCATGGTGAGTGTAAGATGAGGAAGGCAAAAGTGCGAGAGGGAGGAGGGAAGGAATCCCCGCAACTTCTTCATGTTGAGCCTCCAGCCTCCACCAGTGGGATGAGTGGGATCGTCTCGTCAAGCTGGACCATAAAAACATGCCTTCGCGAAGATTATTCGCGCATCCAATACCCTGGTAGCATTACGCGACGAACGATGCAAATCAGATCGTAATGAAGCACTAATGATGATAAAAACAGAGGGGAAATGGAAGAAGTGCAAAAACTCGCGTTTTCCAATCCTTTTTCATTCTTTTATTTTTATCATCTTTTTTATAGGGAAGAAGGGCGCAATTTATTCTTGTTTAATTCGCTTTGCATCGCTTTTGAAAAGATATGTAGCAAGTCTAATTTAAACTTGAAATAAAAAAGTAATCCAGATGATTTGTATAAATATGTGCCCATAAGAAAAAAGTTTCTTCGCTTCTACGTTAAATCTTGTAAAGTGGAGAAATTTTTGCAAGCGATACATCGAAGTCAAAATTTAACTCGGTCAAATTTTCATCAATTATACCATTTCGATTGTCCATTTTGTTACTCCAAAGTATGTTATTTTATTTTAAGATTATATGGAATCCACGTCTATATAATCTTAATATATATTGTATATGATATTTTTCTTATATCTTTCCGAAAAACTAATTAACGATCAATGCTCTTTTTAGGATGAAAAATTTATAATTACTTTGAAAAAAACGTACATTATTTTGTTGATGTGTGACTACCAAAAACTTACTTTTAACTCCTTACTTTTTCATTAAAAAATTGTATTATTTTAACCAAATTTTACTTAGAACAACAAATTTCGTTAGAACAATACGCAATTTTTAAATAAAAAAGTAAGAAGGTTTTTATTAGTCACATATCAACAAAATAATATATGTACCAAAATATTTTTCTTAATGTAATATAATTCTTTGATAGCAAATAATATTTTTTTTCTAATATCCGATTTCCAACATATAACAAATTTTCTCATAGAGATAATTATATCTCAAAAATATTCATTAAATTCGGAGTAGAAGATGAGTGTCAGGTGACACGTACTTTTTTTTTTCTCATCGTAACTTATCCTCGCTTAAATTTCATGTTCCAAAAATCGAGCGCGATCTTTTAAAGATACAGAAAAGAGAGAGTCAGCCGTTCATAATTCTGCTACGAATTTCGTGGGGAAACAGAAACGAAATACAATTGCGACTTAATTGAAATCCCGTATATTTTAATTACGGTCTTAATGGGTCAAGAAGAACGACCGGGTCAGAGAGCTCTCGATTTAATCGCCTCGGCTTTAAAAGTGACACACCAGCTGAACGAGGCATCGCACGAGGCATATCCCCGAGTCCCTTATCTCCCGCGCCAAGTATACAAGCCGCGATCCTACCAGGTGGTACGAATTCGGGGCCATCTCGCACGGGGGTCCGCATGGGTGCCGCGTTATCTGGGTAGGGGGGTACACGTGAGCCTTCTCCATAGAGCGCGGAGCGCACCTCGCACGCGGCTCCTCGTACGTGTGTGAATACGGAGTCGTGAGTAGTGTTAACGGCCTTGCTTTATGTGGGTCATGAAACAAGGTCCCACCAGCACGGGGGGAGCCCGGGAGAGCCACGGCGTGCGCTTAACTTATGCTAGCAAAGACGAGCCGATATACACACGCGTGACACACACACACG